TCTGCTGGGGGAGGCCCCCCCAGGCCTCCCCCAGCAGACCAGGGAGACGCGGAGCAGCTTTTCTCGCCCCGGAGGATGTGGGCGGCAGGACCTCGGCGCGTCTGGGTGGTCCTCCGGGGCGAGAAAAGCCCCGTTCGTAAGTACGGACCCGACATAAGATCCGCATAACTCGGGGACTGCCTGTATTGTAACAAAGGCCCTCTTCCCTCAGAGCCCAGCTTCTGTGCCTTCAGTACAGTGAAGTCTTATTTCCAAAGCTGTGACTACCCAGTCATTTCCTTATCAACCGATTCTAAAGGCAAACACAGGATCATGGCTGTACAAATAAGTAGTGAGGAAGAGAACACAAGTATCTGGAGTAACTGTCATGGTGGATAAGAGGGCTATTGGAAGAATACTGTAAATTGGGGATGCCCAAGTGTGCTCTGGGCACAAGTCCTACCCCCACTCCTGCAGAGGAGCAATTTGGGTATTCCTACTACTTGCTGCCTTCACAAACATAGACAGGAGCTTCCAGCTCCAGGTATAGCCCATAGGGTTTTGAAATGTTGCCTACGTCTCCTCCCCAATTCACAACGTTCCATCTGCATTGACTAAGGGTTCTAATAGCCTGCTATTCCTCCTTTAGTGGCCTTATGAATGCCTCACTTGTTAGGTTTAGCAGCGACCTTGCACAACAAGCAATTTCTATTCATGCACCAAGGAAAGTACAAGGAAACATGGTCCAGTGTATTATAATAATGTTTGTAGAGTTGCACATAATTAGGTGTGACCTTCAGGATCCAGGCATGTTGCCAGTACAGCCCTCAGTATCACTCCGGGCTCTATCTTGCGATATGCTGGGAGACCTAAACTGCCACTGAAGTCAATGGGAACTGGCACCTCCCAGGGCTGTCCGCAAAGCTTCGGTCACGCTGATAGAAATGTGTTCATTTTTTGTTCCACATTTACTGTAATGTTAAAACTTGAGACAGGGACAAATAATTTTCTTTGCACTTTATTATAACCACTACTTCATTACATTTTGGTGGGGATCGGTACCAGAAAACACAAGTAAGGACAGTTCTTGGCTCTTTGGAGTTTGCAGCCTAACACCTTGCAATCTGCCCTTTGTGGATGGAGCAGTTGCCCTGTTGTCACCAGGGCTCTGTATAAGGGAGGCAGGGCTCCAGTGGTACTGATATGTCTGCAGGAGCCCGACCTAAAAGCCAGAAAAAGTAAAATTCACTGTAGAACCCTGAGGAAGGTGTTAAACTGGCATTTTCTTCCCCTTCCTTTCTTTTCTTCCCTTCTCTCCCACATCGATTACCAGTACATTTATATAAAGTGGAGAGGTTAAAAAAAATTAAAGCTTTACTGTACTTCATCTATTTGCTAAGTCTGTGGATATGATAGTTTTTAAAACTTTTTCCAGCGCTGAGTGTCACGTGTGCCAATAGACACGCCTAGTTGTTTACTTCTACCAGTGATTGTCCAAGTGAGATTGAAGGGGAAGCCATTACATTCACTGTTTGCTAAAAAGTTGAGCTGCAGTCCCAGGCGTAGGAAGGTAGTGCTTTGTTTACCGTCTACAGTTTGTAGAGTCTGGCTTCAATATAAGATCTACTTAGATTTTTGTGCATGCGCTGGAGAAGCCTAATTAAGGCTTCAGACATCCTTTGCCCTGCAGACAACTTTTATTAAATTTAGGTCTTATATCTGAAAAGGATTTCAAACTTATTCTACCAAACAAACACTCTAAAAGAAAAGTATTAGCTCTATTAATACGAATTTCTAAAGTTAGTATAAAAATTGTGGATGATTTACGTTATCAAAATGTTAGCCTGTGTTTGTGTGGAGTGAAAAAAATGCATTGAAAACAAAAGCTGTTAATGGCAAATCTAACTTACCTACGTTGCCTACCTACAATAACAGAGCCTGATTCTGCCTGTGTGACAGCCACCTGTTATGGAGGCAGGCTAAGACCCTGGGTCTAAATGTCCTCGGCTACCATATCCACTCTCATTCTCAAAGTGTGCACAATTAAATATCATTGCTGTGTTCCACTCAAGAGGTGGCTACATTTCAGCAATGAGTGGAATGATTAAGCATGTGTAGTTTGGGGAAAACTTTGAATCCTTCAGAATGAAAAAAGAGGCATAAATGGAAGTTTCATTATTACTACTGCGAAACTGACGACTTTTTTTTTTTGTCTTGCTAAGGTAAGCTGCAGGTGCTCAGCAGTTCTAAAAACTCAGGTCTGGTGCATGTCTCAAGCTAGGCATCCCCGAGCAAGTAGCCACTAAACATTTATCTCTTCTGTGCTCTTGTTTCCCCACCAGTAAAAAGGTTGGACACTAAGTTTATGTCTACACTACAATGTTAGTTCGAACTAACGGACGTTAATTCGAACTAACATTCATAGGCGCTACACTAGCGCTCCGCTGGTTCGAATTTAAATCAAACTAGCGGAGCGCTTAGTTCGAACTAGGAAAACCTCATTTTACGAGGATTAAGCCTAGTTCGAACTTACTAGTTCGAATTAAGGGGTGTGTAGCCCCTTAATTCGAACTAGTGGGAGGCTAGCCCTCCCCAGGTTTCCCTGGTGGCCACTCTGGCCAACACCAGGGAAACTCTATGCCCCCCTCCCGGCCCTGGACCCCTTAAAGGGGCACGGGCTGGCTACGGTGCCCGTGCCAGGTGCAAGCCTGCCAGCACCCAGCCAGCAGACCCTGCACCTGGCACGGCACAGAGCCACCCACCCGATGCCCCCCAGCCCACTCCCTCTTGCCGGGACCAGGCTGGCGGCTCCCGGGAGCTTGCCCTGGACCGCAAGAGGCGGGCACCTTCCTGGGCTAGTGCGGACATCGTGGACCTCGTCCACGATCTCTGCACTAGGCACAGGAAAGTGGCCGTCTAGGGCAGGAGAGCTGCCAGCCTGGCCACCCAGGACCAGGTGTGCATGAAAATCAAGGGGGTCCACTGAGACCCCCGACCCTGAGCCCTGAGCTTACAATGGCCGTCCTGGGTCAGACCAAAGGTCCATCTAGCCCAGTAGCCTGTCTGCCAACAGCGGCCAACCCTAGGGACCCTGGAGGGGATGGACCGAAGACAATGACCAAGCCATTTGTCTCGTGCCATCCCTCTCCAGCCTTCCACAAACTTTGGGCAGGGACACCACTCCTACCCTCTGGCTAATAGGACTCCATGGACCCAACCTCCATGACTTGATCTCACTTCCCTTTCAACTCTGTTCTAGTTTTAGCCTTCACAGCCTCCTGCAGGAAGGAGTTCTGCAGGTTAACTATTTGCTTTGTGAAGAAGAACAACTTTCTCTTACTAGTTTCAAGCCTGCTACCCATTCCTTTCCTTTGGTGTCCTCTAGTCCTTCTTTATGGGAACTCAGGAAGAACTTTTCTGAATGCACCCTCTCCACCCAACCCCTGCTTTTAGAGACCTCTATCCTGTCCCCCCTCCGTCTCCTCTTTTCTAAGCTGAACAGTCCCAGTCTCTGTAGCCTCTCTTCATCTGGGACCTGTTCCCAACCCCTGATCATGTTAGTTGCCCTCCCCTCTCCCAGCCTTTCTCTTCCCCTCTCCCACCTCCTTTTCCCAGTCTCCCCCAGTTTTTTTCAATAAAGACAGAGTCAATGTTGGAAGAAACGTTATCTTTATTTTGTACATCAATAAGAAGGGGGGCTAGGGAAGGGTAAGTGGAAGGAGGTGAGGGAGGAATGGGGTACGAGCCCCCGATGGGGAGGACTGGGCTGGCTCTGCGGGCTTCTGGGGGTGGAAGCTCTCCTGCAGCCCCCCAATTACTCCCTCTCCCCAGATGGCAGCCTGCGGCAAGTGCAGCCGGGCTGATGGCCGAGTGGTGTGATGTGCCCAGTGTGGGCACTCAGGGCACTCCAAGCCAGAACTTCTTTGCAAGCGGGGCACCCCTTAGAACTGTGTGTCCGGGGTGGGGGTCGGGACCCTTTAAGCGCAGCCCTCGGCTAGCCTGAGACAGCATCTCCACGCTATAAGTCCTCCTCTGATGCCCTGCCGGCACTGCTTCCGGCCATCCTTAAGCCCTGTTCAGGGTCCACTTAATGTGGACATGCTAGTTCGAATTAGCAAAACGCTAATTCGAACTAGTTTTTAGTTCTAGACGCGTTAGTTCGAATTAGCTTAGTTCGAATTAACTAATTCGAACTAAGTTAGTTCGAACTAACTCTGTAGTGTAGACATACCCTAACAGACTACCAGCGAATGGGCAGTATTTTTAATGAGGAATATAGAGGAATTAAATTCTGAATATCGGTCTTGATTTATTTTCAGGCAGTAGCAAAACTGCTGTCAGTGGATTGTCGTTGTCATGGTGTTTCCGGATCTTGTGCCGTGAAAACTTGTTGGAAAACTATGTCTTCATTTGAAAAGATTGGCCAGTATTTAAAGGATAAATATGAAAACAGTATACAGATATCTGACAAACTGAAGAAAAAACTACGCAGGAAAGAAAAAACACAACAGAAAATACCAATCCGCAAGGAAGATCTTCTCTACATAAACAAGTCACCCAACTATTGTGTGGAGGATCCCAGACTAGGGATTCCTGGGACACAGGGAAGAGAATGCAACCGCACGTCAGAGGGCCCAGATGGCTGCAATCTCCTCTGCTGTGGTCGCGGTTACAACACTCACGTAGTCAGGCATGTGGAGAGGTGCGAATGCAAGTTTGTCTGGTGCTGTTACGTCCGCTGCAGAAGGTGTGAGAGCATGACTGATGTTCATACCTGCAAATGAGAGAATCTGTCTCAGAAAAGAAAACAACTCCTCCTCGTCTAACAGGACTCATTCCTTCTCTGTTAGAATAACAAGAGGATCTGCCTTCATAACAGATGTCCCAGAATGCTTTGGTTTCCAACTGAAAGAGCAACTCACGACAATAATCACCTGCATGTAATGATTGAGTGACAATAAAAAAGGCCAAGCCTTCTGAGGAGCCCAAATGGATAGGTGGCATATTTGAATATTAACACCACAGCTACTATGGAGTATTAAACTTTTCATCAGCAACGGCCATAACATGATGATCAAGAATTGCCTTAAAGTTGTCAATGAGCACAATAGAAAAAAGTCAAAAAGAGATGTTGGCTTTTAGTGGCCAAAAGGATACTGGACACGGAAGAAGTATCATGCAGTTCTCACTTCCCTCTGTTAATAGTGGGAACCATTCAGTGACTCGACTTACCCATGTACAGCTTCTTCCTGCACACTGCGGAAAGAAATGAGGATGCAAAGCTCCACTGTTGAACGTGCGGTGGTTGATTAGCTACTGTACAGGGGGCAGTGTAAATGTGTCAGTGCTCAGCACTGTGGGCTGAGTACTGGGGAGGGAGAGGATATTGGGTAGGTTTGAAGTGGAGCTGGGACATGGCAAGACCATCAGTGCTGCAGTTTGAATGCACATAATGTGCCCAGTAGCAGCCATTTTTAGTATTTTCACAAACCCATCACTCAAATGTGCTTAGAATAACTAAAGGGGCGGGGCAGCTGTGTAGGACGCAAGTATGAAGGAAACAGACTTTGCTACAGTCAGCTCCACCAGATCTCATACATGTGTGTGGCACAGTATTCTTGCCAGCCCACTATCTTTAGACCAGGTGCCTTCCGCTTACTGTACTGTTGGATCATGAGTCACCCTGTTCATCTGTTCTGGTCGTGGCATCTAGCTCAGGTTTTCTTAAACCTCAGCCACATCACTTGCAGGATCAAACCAAAAGTTTATCATAAAGGGAAATAAATGTCAGAAATGGAATATTCCCATCTGCCTTTAGAACATAAGTATGGCCATATTGGGTCAGACCACTTAGCCCAGTATCATGGCCGCCAGATGCTTCAGAGAGAATGAACAGAATAGGGCAAGTTATTGAGTGATCCATTCCCTGTCGTCCAGTCCTGGCTTCTGGCAGTCAGAGGTTTTGGGACCTCACAACATGAATTTGCATCACTGACCTGCCTAGCAACTAGCTGTTGATAGACTTATCCACCATGAATATCTTTGCAGATACAGTAGATCACACCTCAGCCAGTGTTGCTTTTAAAACAAGATCAAATGCATGATGTACTTGATAGAGTGCCTCACACCATTAAAACACCTAAAACCACTGGTATTATTTATTTTTCCATTTTTGGCTCACTGTTATTTACATCTCTGAAAGGAAGGGAACCAGTCAGGAATTAGGCACTACCCAGGCACAGCTTGTTCCTGCACGTTGCTGAAAAATGTGATTCCGGAGCTCTAATTTTGAACATGCAGTGTTTGCTGGCAGAGAGACATCCATGTATTGTATGAAATGTCTAGTGCTCATTGTTTTTGTGTATGTAATTGTGTGTTAAATACTGCTTTAAAAGATTTGTGTGAAAGGGTTTTGGTTGCTGAAATATACAAAGATATATTTTTGATAAAATTTATATTTTGTGAATGTTTAAATTATGCACATTCTAGAAAAGGCTTTAAAGGCATGTGCATTAAGTTCCATGAACTAACATAAGATTACATTGTTTGACATTTGCTGGTTAGATCTCTGTTACTCTTGCAGTAGCTTTTAACTGACTTTTGTTTGCTTGTGTAAGAGGGAAGACACGTATTTGAACTGTTACATAAATGACGTATTTCTCACAAACAGGGCACCATTACAGCTACAATACTCCGATTATGACACACTAAGAATTAAATTTTCTAGTGATCAATTGATTTTTATTCTCTACAATTTCCTTTTTCCTCTTTTACAGCTTATTTGCAGAGTGAAATCCTGGCCTTGTTGAAGTGAATAGCAAAACTCCCATTAACATCAGTAAGGCTGGGATTTCACCTTTGTAATATATCATCTGTACTTTTTAAAAACAAACTAGCATAGAGATGTTGGTTGGGAATTTCAGAGTTAATTGGGGCTGGGGTTCCTAATTCTCATGAGTTTTAATTATATTTCTCATTTAATTGGGTATCAAGGTCTCTTATCCAGATTTGAAAATCTCAGCCTTTACTCTCACTTGTTTGAGGAAAACCTAGAGAACAAAACAAACACTTCCATTTGTTTCATACTTGTCTTGTTGTTTTCTTGTGGGTGATGACCTGGATTTGTTTTCATATTTTCAGTTAGAATTTACTGACTTCAGGGCTACTCAAGAAAGATTCCAGCTGGATGAAATTCACCACAGATGCAGCGTCAGCACGAGGCCTAAATCTGTTTTTCAGGCTAAAGTGTGATAAACATGGTTTAGATGATGTCAGTGGCCCTACCTTGTTTTATCATTGTAGCGTAGGACTCGAAAGCACCCCAAGAAGTCAATTTCCTTGGGCTGTTTAATTGTAATCACCACTGGATGTTTATTTTACAAACCACCAATGACAGTGATTCCATAATGGGAATTGTTCCTGTATAATGACTGTGAGCTCAGTTCTGATCATTTATAACATGAGATTGCAGGAGTCTTGAAAGGGCTTCTTACCATACGAAGACTGATATGAAATTTTGAAGATCTTTAATGAATAGTTTCAGAGGAGGTAGCTCTGTTCGTCTGTAACTGAAATGTTTTTTTTTTTTTAATGAATAGTCTTGCAGTACCTAAGAGACTAACAAAAATTTAGATGGTATCATGAGCTTTCATGGGCACAACCCATTTGCATCGGAAGAAGTAGGTTGTGCCCAAGAAAGCTCATGACACTATCTACATTTTTTGTTAGTCTCTAAGGTGCTGCAGGACTATTAGTTGTTTTTTATATTTTTTTAATGAATAGATTCCTCCAAATCTCAATTGGATTAAAGAAGTGAACGTTGAAATATTATATGTCATCTTGTACATTACATAGGAGAAACTGCTTATCTCAGTCATGTTCCTTCACTCTGTCAGCTTTGTAATCATGGAGCAGCAATTTGTAAAAAGTAGCAAAGCTGTAAAAAAACAGCACCAGCCCATTTC